AAGTGTGTGAATCACTGTGATTTATAGTGTGTGTTATGTTTAAAGTGACTGTGGAAATTCTGTGTGTACTAAAAAGTTGTATTGAGAAAGAATAAACTAGTTTTAATTAAGAAAGGACTTGTATCGCTGAATTTCCTCGGAAAGAAGTTATACCGGAAATTAACAAACGACCAGATACGTAACAAATTGGTGTCAGAGAGTGGGATAGAGAAAAAAAAGATGGAAACGAGAAGTAACATATCAAACTACGACTTAGCAGATTTGATGGCAGCAATACAAGAACAGCAAAAGAAACAAGAAGAACGAGAAAAGAAACACTGAATCACTGTGATGTATAGCATGTGTTATAAAGGTTGTTAAGTTTAAAGTTACTGTGGAAATTCTGTGTTCTAAAAAGTTGTATTAAGAAAGAATAAACTAGTTTTAATTAAGAAATGACTTGTATCGCTGAAGTTCCACGGAAAGAATTTATATAGGAAATTAACAAACAAGCAGATACGTAACAGTATTTTAAAATCCATTTGTACATATATTAATTGAACACAGAAAATGTATTTGTCAATATATTAATTTTTCTAAACTATTACTAAAGCTAGGAAATTACAGCAATTATTTAGAATCACATAAATTAATCTATCAATTGCAATTATAGTTAAACCAATTAATGTAAAAAAATATTCAACTAATCTGAATTATTGTTTCTGGTTATTACCTACTTCTACTATACCAACAATTGATTAACTGAAATTAAGTTTAACTAACTGTCATGAAAATAAACTAATCATAGCTACTTGTTTTGATTACAGTTTTCAATTATTCCAAAAAATCTTGATTAATCAGTTATCATGAAAATAAATAACTAATTAAAACTACATGTTCAGATTATTGTTTCTGATTATTCCAGTAATCAGTTTCTTACATTATGATGAACTCGCATGTTAAAACTAATTAAAACTACATGTTCAGATTATTGTTTCTGATTATTCCAGTAATCAGTTTCTTACATTATGATGAACTCGCATGTTATGAAAATAATCAACTAATCAAAATGGGTTTTAGTTGATTACTATTTTTGATTACTCCAACTATTCACAGAATCAAAATATACTGATATTATATTTGTTTGTTGTTAAGCCCAAATCTCTGCCCACAGTGGGTATCAACATTACATTTTAGAATTACATGTATTTGTTTACTTTAAGCTGATTCAACTTTAGGATAGCAATGGCTGGTGATTTGGTGTGTGTGTGTGTATGCCTTGTTATGTGATTTGATGGTCTTGGGTTCAATTCTCATTGTACCCAGATTTTCTTGCTCTTTGTTATAGAAAAGCTAGAGAGACTATCTGCCACTTTCACTGGACTTTGAATTGGCTGAATAGAGGGAAGGCAACTGACTGGCATTACCGATCCATCAAAGCTTGTTGTTGCTGTTTTTAAGCACACCAAGGTTTGAGAAACACTTTACTAATTGATTAATCAAATGTAATTAATCAGTCTGCCAACTAAGAGATAAGCAAGTACTACTAATCGCCTAGTTCTATCATGTCCTTGTCATGCCCAAACAAATTCTTAACTGATTAACTGGTTTGACTTATGAACTGTTGATGTCACATAATGAAACTGACAAATAGCAAAGGATTAATTAATCCAACATTTTCCTTTGTGACGAGATTTTAATATCTCATATACTAAAAGTCGAACAGGTTATTAATTCAGTCCTCTATTTCAAAACAAAACATATGGAATAACTTAGACAAGCCGACATCAAAAATGACACCTTGACTCAAGTGTTTGGAACAATGCACAATGTCAGTCCTTCCATATACTCTTTTTATGCATTTCATTGTATGCTGCAAAGCATCTAAAGTTAAAATTTTTAGTTTCCACTATTTACTTAATGTAGTTTGGCCGAGCAAGTGAACTTCGACTACAATCAAATTCTGATGCACAACACAGGTGATGACATAGGTAAAACAAGGTACCAAATAAAACAAAAGGTTTGAGCAGCATTGTAGTATTTTCAAGTTAAACTGATTTTCTTATAGAGTATTAGTCAGGTCTATTTTATAATTGATGGTTCAGTAGTATAAATTAGAAAGAAAATGATTGTACATGATGTGTTATAGAAAATGTATTAGTCTTTATTCAGATTCAGTCAAATGTCAAATTGAATTTTTAAAAACAATTAACTATACAACTCTGACGTGGTCAAGAAGTAAATTACCATTCTTTCATATCTGTAAATATTTACATACAACATAGGTGTTGCTTACTTTCTCATCGTGATTGCGGTGGTATGGAATGCTTCACTCTGGCTACAGGTTAGGATCCAATCACATACATATCTCTATTTAACATTGTGGTCCAATTGCCCTAGCTACCAATGTGGAATATAGGTAACAAGACCCCTTAATTCAAACCCAGAGTTGTGGAACCTCGGTATATGGTTGAGGCTGGCCTATAGTGATTATCACTCATCTCTTTTCACCCTTGATGCATGAACTGTGTTTCAGGTGAAGAGCTACCTGTTCTGGATGTAGTGCGGTTCCTTCACTCAGGTATCACTATCTTGGTACACCCTTGATCTATGGAGATGCTTTCTGTATGGATAATGCCCTCATCAACCCCTCCATCCTCTCAATGTGGGATTCTAGCTATAGTGTCAGCAGATGATAAGTATGTTTTAGAAATTAACATTTTCCTAAATAGAAATTGTATTTGCAATAATACTTACCTACACTGACACTCTCCCACCCAAAGAGCCTGTGTTAGTGACTTGGATGGTGCTAGTCTCGAAAAAGTGAAAAAATTATCTGAATGAGGTGCTTTTATACAGTACCAGGACAGAGGACACACTGACGTAGGTGGAGAGGATATTGCCAAAGGTATTTCAGTGGTGTATAACAGACTGGAGCAAGTGAGAAAAAAAATCATACCACTGTTTAGATAGGAAAGGTTGAAACCCTGGAGGCCGAAGAATAGCTACTGTGTCTGTGGGTGGTAAGTTTGTTTTCGAAAATGCATGATTCAGCCTTGACAGAATGTGGTGAACTATTCTCACATCATTGACTGGAACAACATAGAATTACCTTAAGTTAAAGAAAAAAACTAAGTATAAGAGAATCTTTAGAGATTGTTAAAAGAAAATTGATGAGTTTGAATAGCAATTTAGGTCCAAGTACCATGGAAGTGAATTTCTAGAATTTGAATTTGTAAATGGCACCATTGTACAATATGCCAATTGTACATTTAAATTTACTCAAGTACATAAACAAATCTCCCGTGTCCTTCTTTGTCTCCTGAAAATGATAAATCATTTTGTCCACCAAAACAATGTGGTGTGTTTCCTTTTTTAATCATATACAAATAAAATTACTGTGCATGTGAAGATGATGGTGTTATCATGTTTTATTTAAAGGTTTTATATTTACCCACACCTTGGTATCTTTTAAACTCACTCAAGATTTATACTACTGACTTTCCTTTTCTCTCAATGACTACTTCAGAAATTCTATATTGAGATGCTTTTATGTCACAACAAGTGTATTGGACAGTAACTAATAAATCTTTGCCTCAAAACAAGATAGAAAAATGGGCTATAAATGATTTGAAGAAAAGATTCTTGTATATCTATGTCACTATAATAACATTTCAGTAAATAGTAATGTATGATTTCTGAAAAGTGATTAGCAGAAATGTTTATAGTGGAGAACAGAGGATTCTAATGAAAAGCTTGAAATGCTTAGGGATAAGCCACAAACATGGGATTTTTTTTATAGTGGCTGTTAAACGATTTTTTCATTTATGATAGTCTTTTTGTGTTATATTATGTTTTTATTTTAAACCACAGGAATATTCTGATATAAGAAGTAAAAATATTCAGGGTTAGAGAGTAGAGTATGTTAGGAGTTCTGCAATAACAAACTATTCAAGTGATAGTAAAGTTTTATGTGTACTAGTAAATTTGTTATTACTCATCAACACATACAATAACTCAGTTACTGAAAACAAATTACTACAGTTTGTTTCTTTTAGAGCAAAGCCATAATGGACTATTCTGCTTGTTGGATATACAATAATGTTTAGTGTAAGTTATTATTTAGTTCATTTATTAATCTAACATTTAATGATTACTTAGTTTTTATAACAAGAGCGTTAAAGTTAATTACTTTAAAGGTAATAGTTATAACAAGTTTTGTTATGTAACTTG